CTTAGTGACTGTGTGCCTCTCTTAACCTCTATGTCCCTTTCTCTGGTCAGTCAGGCAGATCATTTAATAGTCATTATTCAAAGGCTTGTGAAGATGAAATGCAGTAATTCATGTAAAGCATAGAGATAGGAATGTAAAAACCAGTAAATATTAACTGCCATCGTCATCATCATCATCATCAACACTATCCTACAAAAGTTACTAGTACCACTGAAATAGTGTTGCTACGTTCAAAGTAGCAGCTATAACTAGAAGAGAGACATGCCAAATAGCCGAAAGCTTGAAGAACGTAGTTTAGAAATTTCTAAATTATTTTGGATATTTTTCTTTGAAAATATTTTGGGTAATCTGTGAATATAAAAATAGCTTAGCTAAGATAGTTACGTGAACAATTTCAATGGAGTTAACATTCAAAGAGCAATGGACCAATTCTCTTTACTACTATCCTAAATTTGCAGAAAAAGTGAGCCTATGCAGAAATTTGTAGCCGCAGCCCAAACATTTCCAGCAGTGTCTTTATATCGTTGTAATGAAATTTAAGTAGGTAAATGAAAAGACCCCTATTCAACAGATCTCCTGGACTCTCATTTTGAGAGTCACGTTTCTCTCTGCGTGAGTTTTACGAAACTGTTCAGCTATTATTAAGTGTCTCATTGTCTATCTGTTTACCTGCGTCTTTGATACCAAGTAAACTAGACTACAGTCATGTTGGCACATTTCCACTTGCTGCCCGAGAGGTATTGAGATCAATGAACACTAACCCGAGGAGCATATTCTTACCAAATTAAAGAGCGACATGAAATATGTGTTCCAGGTTCCTGGTTTTAAGCTAAATATGCATCAGTTATCTCTGATCAGGGGAAACAGAGGGCGGGTAAGTACTTCCACCTTCTCTGTGTGTTCTAAGTTCCTTAAAAAACTTACCTGGAAATTAAGTTGTAATTTTAGCATTTGAGAGGAAACTTGATTTTAAAATAATAATCGACTGGTTTACATAACCCTTTATTTAACTTGCTTACATAATGTGTATAACACTTTGAAGGTAGTGGCATGTGTTTCCAATTCACTCTGAAAGAATATGAAAACAGCTATCTTGTGAAGAAAAGTACAAAAATTATACCACAAAGTATGATCTTAAAGGAAGCCTTATGAAAAGAACTAATGTTTGTTAACTGAAGATGTCGTGAAATTAAATTTGATGTGTTCCCTAATGACTAGTCATAGCTTTAAATTGAATAAATAAGAGTTCTGTGATTAATCCACTAGATTTTTCTGTTTTAAAAGTTAGGCTTTTAACTGTTTTCAAAATTTCTATCCTATTGGAACATGATTTTATAATTCCAAGATAGGCTGGGTGCGGTGGCTCTCGCCTGTAATCCCAGCACTTTGGGAGGCCAAGGTGAGTGGATTACAAGGTCAAGAGATCGAGGCCATCCTGGCCAACATGATGAAATCCGGTCTCTACTAAAAATACAACCAGGCGTGGTGGCGGGCGCCTGTAATCCCAGCTACTTGGGAGGCTGAGGCAGGAGAATCGCTTGAACCCAGGAGGTGGAGGTTGCAGTGAGCCGAGATTGTGCCGCTGCACTCCAGCCTGGCGACGGAGCAAGACTCTGTCTCAAAAAAGAATAATAATAGTAATAATAATAATTCCAAGATAAAGCTGGAAGGTAATTGATTGCTGAAGGACTGTTCTCTGCCAATTAGCACTAACAAATTCCCTGCATTTTTGACGGGCTTCGGTGTGCAGATTGTTGTACTAGGATGGGGTGGATCATGGGTAGAGAAGATGGAAGTCCAGGATGAAGAAAAACTTAGCGGAGCGTGGTGGCGGCTGCCTGTAGTCCCAGCTACTTGGGAGCTTGTCCCCACCTTCAAGGAGCACTCAATCTAGCTAGAGGCCAGGACTGGGTATGGTCAGTTTAAACTGTCTTCTTTATAGCTGCTGGTATAAAAAATACAACACTCAAGTACTTAGATATTTCATTTAAAATAACAAACTGCTTGGTATGTAATTACATAACTTTAGGGTTATGCTTTTAGTTTTTAAAACCATGAGTCCAGAGAAAATTCAAGGTAGGGGATTAATTTTTTATTATTGAATAGACAATGATAGGTTCTAATAATATAAAAATGCAAGACTGGCAAGTTTTTTGTTGTTGTTGTTGTTTTTGAGACGGTCCCGCAGTGACGCAATCTCGGCTCACTGCAAGCTCCGCCTCCCAGGTTCACGCCATTCTCCCGCCTCAGCCTCCCAAGTAGCTGGGACTACAGGCGGCCGCCACCACGACTGGCTAATTTTTTGTGTTTTTAGTAGAGATGGGGTTTCACTGTGTTAGCCAGGATGGTCTCGATCTCCTGACCTCGTGATCCGCCCACCTCGGCCTCCCAAAGTGCTGGGTTTACAGGCATGAGCCACCGCGCCTGCAAGGTTGGCAAGTTTCTACAAGAGCTGTTGGCTTCTTCATTGTCATCCTGGAGGTTACATGGAATAGCTTATGTTTTGAAGCTAGTTACAATTACAATAATGGGTATCCGCTGGTAATTTTCTACATTGTCCTTTAATTTTTTCAGTAACAAATACATACATGATTGATGCTAAAAATATTCATTTACTTGCTATGTCTCACTAAATGTTTTTTATGATTCTCTGGGCTTTGACAAATCAACAGAATTTGGGGTTTAGATATATTGTGCTATATTTGAAATGATTGAACTTCTTATTTTTCTTCCGTAATATAAATTGTTTTGTAACATCAAATGGAGAAGAGACTAATATTGTGTTCTTTGTGCTAGGTACTGTGGTAGGTATTTTGCAGTTGTGGGTCCTGGTCTGTGTGGTTGCTAACCCTTCTGACCTACATAATTCTGGCAACATCTTTAGTACCCCCTTGTATCTATAGAGGCAAAATTTATTTCTATCACACATTAAATATACCACATCGATTTCTATGTCTATGGCTTGATTTGGAAGTTAGGGGATTTAATTTCCTCTCCCTAGCTTAGTTACTTTATTTCCTGCCTACATAGTTGCTAAGGTCAAGTTTCTTTCCAGGCTTTGTTTTCCTTAGCATGTGTTTTTGGAGGCAGGGGAACAGTTGGTGATGTATCTGTGGTTTATTGCCCAGCAACATGAAAGGATGGGGATCAGGGAGAGTCCTCAAAGAGAAGCTCAGATCAGAGATACCTGACTGGAAGATTAAAGTAAGCAAAAGCAGTAGCCACATGAGACAAGGTTAATACGTGGGCTTACGAAAATGTCCTAAACATTATTTGGTCTTTTGTATGATAAGAACTCTTTCTAGAATATAAGCATCATAAGAGTAGTTCTCTTGTCTGTTTTGTTCTCTGTGGCCCTGTCATCTGTGCCTGGCACAGTGTAGGTGCCTAATAATGATGTGTTGATTAATTGAACTATGAATGAATAAATAACATATTTCAATGGTAGTTTCTGGTCTTGTACTTTATTTTATTTATTTGACTGAAGTTTTTTGTTGTTATTCTAGTAAATGGTGAGGGAGAAGCTTGCTACTAAAGTGTGTAATTTCTAAATGGTTATTTTAAAAATTATATTGGAAACTTTTTCTCCTATAGAAAATTATCTCAAAGTATAAGGTAATGTATTTGTTGGTGGGGGAAGCATTTTATATCTCTGTAATACAGTGACACTTGTATCTTTGATCTTTACAATGACACTTGTATCTTTGATTTTTATTACCCATCGTTCTTTTTTAGCAAAATCACCTCATGCATTTAAAAAAAAAAGAAAAAACTTTAAAAAATTCTTTGTAGTCTTTACAGTAGGGAAGTTTTGTTCACATGTATTTGAAGAGTGCATGAAATAAGGTTTGTTTCCTTCTTTTATGCTTTTATAATGTGCCAAGATAGTGAGGGGTTCTTAATGAGTAGATTTACGTAATTTAGGTTAAGGCATGTACTTTTTTCCCCCCAAGGGTTTTAATATAATTGCAAAATTCCTCTTTAGAAAGATCATATCTAATTTACATTTTCTTTCTTCCAACCCCACTTCATTCTTGAATCTGATGGGTTAAAAAAAATTGATTCTTTTATTGAATATTTCTAAGTCCGAACATCTTTTCAAATGTTTTACATGTGTCACTTGTTCATGTACTTCGTCCATTTTTCTGTTGAAATTTTATCTTACTAATATATAAGTGTTCTTTGTAAAAGACACCTACCGTTTATGGTGTTTGGTGAATTGTTTTCTTCTCTGTGCAGTTTTGTAAGACACTTTAGAGACTGAAGGGTGTGAAGGCTCTGAATTTTTATTTATTTGTTTAATTTTGCGATGGAGTTTCCTTCTTGTTGCCTAGGCTGGAGTGCATGGTGCAATCTTGGCTCACCACAACCTGCACCTCCCAGGTTCAAGCGATTCTCCTGCTTCAGCCTCCCAAGTAGCTGGGATTGCGGGCTTCCACCACCAAGCCTGGCTAATTTTTGCATTTTTAATAGAGACAGGGTTTCACCATGTTGGCCAGGTTGGTCTCAAACTCCTGACCTCAGGTGATCCGTCTGCCCCAGCCTCCCAACATGCTGGGATTATAGGCGTGAGCCACCATGCCTGGCCACCTCTGGATTTTTTAACATAGACCTTTCTTTTTGTCTGTTGCTATTCCCAGTTGGAGAGTTGAGCAAATATTTCTATGTAAGGCTAATTAGTCTAAGTAATAGGTGTGTCATCGTCATAAAGTTGTAAGTTTTCTTGTGTATCATAAAATTTTTCAAGAGATATTCCTCTGACTCTCCAAGACTGAAACCAGCATTGCAGCAGCAGTTCAGCAGCAATTCTAGAAGAGGAGGGGAAAATCCTGTGCCGACATATTTTTCTGACTGTTGCTGCTATCTTTGATCTTTTCAGGAACTTGCCATTTTAAACATAATTCACTGTTTTGACTGTGTTATGTATGATTTCATCCCCATGCACATTCACATGAAAAGTGAGTTGTCTAACCCTGGGCTATGTTTCCATTTATTTTCAGAGTATTCACATACTGGAGAGGACTGCTTCCTCTAGCACCGAGCCCTCCGTAAGTCGGCAATTGCTGGAACCGGAGCCCGTCCCCCTCTCCAAGGTCAGTGATGGAATGCGGTGCTTTCTCTGCTGGCATGATGCCTGCTCTGGGGCCAATTGAACTGTGAATAACTTTTATACCTGACTCCCCTAAAATAGCTGTGATGCCAGTTGTAGGCAACTCTTTGCACTTTTTCTGCTTCCAGTGAGTAGAGTTTCTCTGCCCTTTGTAAGAGAGAACAGAGAATGTGTACTTTGCTGGGATTTGCAGGATTACATACAAGGGTCCAAAATTCTCTTTAAGGGAAGAAGGAAAAAGAAGCTATTGCCTTCCCTGTTGGAGATAAAAACATATTTCTATGCCCAGCTAATGGAAAATTTAAAAAACTGCATCCAGCAATAAAAATAATAACAGCTACCATTATTGCCCATGTACTGCATCACCAGACACTGTGAGAAGTATTTAAATATATTATCCCATTTAATATAGTTCTTATAAGTAGCTCCACACACACAGTGTAGGTATTTATCACATTTTACAAATATGGAAACTGAGAGTTCGTAACTTGCCCATAGTAAATAAATAAATAAACTATCAAGGATTATAGCAGAGCAAGAATTCAAACTTAGATTTGTCCAACTCCACAACCAATGCTTGTCAGCTCTTCACGAGCTGCAAGGTAGAACAGTACCTATGCGGAGGGGCTGTTGTATATTCTGGCTTCTAGGCTCCTTCTCACATCTGGTCTTCCTAGCAGTGAGCTCATGAGAGAACAACTGCAGATTATTTATAAGACCTTTTCTGTGTCATGGGAGCCAGTGTTGCCTCCCCTTCAGCCTGCTCTTCCTCAGACTGGGGAAACATTAAATTCACATATGTCTAAAACGTAAAAATGATAGGGAAAAGTTGAAGATATACCATCCTACTCCTGCCCATCCCTCCCTGAGATTTTCAATGGGCTTCCTCCTTTATTGAGAAATTCTGAAAATAGAATGCATACAGACTTTGAATCCCAGTATAAAAATAGCACTTTATACCCAGAGATGGTTAATTTCTAAATATGTAAAACCGATCATTACACCTTGCTTTTCTATATTAAACATAATCCTTTTAGAAAAGAACACTTTGCTACCCAACTGTTACGGAATATATACACTTGAACCTCTTTAAACTGTAAAGATATTACAAGCTATAAAGTTTATTCTGTCAGACAAGAATAGACTGCTAAACCGCAGAAAGCAGGGAGTTATTAAAGTATAAAACATAACTTAGAGATAAAAAGTGGTCTTGACTTCCATTTGAATAGCAAATAGAGACTGTATACCTGGTAAATATAATATAACTGGTAATCTCTTTGAAATAGCATTTCTCTCTTATAGTTAGCTAAAGGAAATAGAGAACAAATAAAAGGGCAATGGAAAAAGGTAGCTAAAATTCATTGAGCACCTACTTTGTGCCAGGCACTGGATTAGAACATGTATTATCTCACTTAGCCCCCAACTCGTTGAAGTGCATATCAATGTTGTTTTTACTTACTGATAATTATGGCATAATTTTCCAGGCATGAAGACTTGGTCTAACAGCAATTCTTCCTAGAAGGAGGTGGTTGTTAGCCCAGCTCACAGCAGCTGGGGCTTGGGTCCACTGGCTTGATATAAAGGGATCTGGGTAGGGTACATACAGCATCTACTTCCCATTACTTCTCCATGTTGTTGCCCATTTAGATCTTGCTGTAGGACTACTAAACCCTGGTTGTGTTTCTGTGTCAGTAGACACCACATCTCTTGGGGCCTCATGAAATCAGAGGGCCATATCTAACCCAGACACCATCGCATCTCACCATCTCTCGGCCCCTTTGAGAGATGGGCTTCCTGGGCACTGGTTAGTAGTGGAAGAATTTTTTCTTGAAGTACACATTGTCCTGATCAGGATTTGTTCCAATCCTAAGCTTGATGCATTCACCTGCTAAAGCATTTTTATGTACCCACACACACTCACCAGCATACATCTGCACACGTGTGCACATACAGTTTACCTTCAGAAAGGAAATGTCTCTATTTTTTCCAAATGAAAAAACTTGGGCGATTATAGCATTACTGTCTGTTCTTATTTATTGTTATTAGGGTAAAAGTATTTTTAAAACTTGTAATACGAATAATATGTATATATCTGACACGTCAAGTACTGACATGATCACATTATGGCTTTTAGCTCTGTTTCTGTTATAAGTAAACCCAGGAAAATTGGATACTTTTAAGCAGAAAAAATATCAACTGAAATTACAAAAACAAATGCTTCAATTTTCGGAAAATAATTTTAATTTTCTTAAGATAGTCCTAGTCTACTAAGCATAGAGGGAGAAATTTTAACATAATGGAAAATAGAACATAGATGAGTTGTTTCATTCTTATACACTTTATTTGTAACATTATCCACAGCATTTATAATTGAAATAGGGAGAACATTGTCTGCTCTGGTTTTATCTTTTGCCTCTGTCAGTTTGACAGCATATTTAATTGTGAGAAGTATAGTAGGACTCTTTTCTCTTTCTTTTACTGGACTTAGTAATATTGCATCAGACTGAATAAAATTATTTGCTCAAAGCTGTCACATCTATGTTTAAGAAATACATGTTAACTTTTTGCCTTTCTATCTTATCTCTTTTTTTCTCCCTTCTGAAGTTAAACTCCCAGAGAAGAAAAAAACACTGTGATAGAAATTAGTAGCCGTACATGAGAATGATACATTAGATTTTGGGGACTCTGGGGGAAAGGGTGGGGGGTGTCGAGGGATAAAAGACGACACATTGGATACAGTGTATGCTGCTTGGGTGATGGGTGCACCAAAATCTCAGAAATCACCACTAAAGAACTTATTCATGTAACCAAACACCACCCGTTCCCCAAAAACCCACTGAAATAAAAAATAAAAATTTATAAAAAGAAATTAGTAGTTAATAGCCATTACTACAATCTGAGTTTAGTCAGAAGAAAACTTGCAAAGCTCTGCACTTATTAAATGTTTCCATTTTCACAAGTTATACAGAATATTCTTCATCATCCACACACACACACATACAGTCAATCAAAGATGAACACCAGCTTCCAAATAAATCTAGCCAGAAATACAAATATTATTCTTCTAGAGATACTATCCATGGATGCAGCTACTGAAAATAGAAATGCCACTAAATATGGTGGATATCTCTCTAAGAACAGAGAGAGAGCTCTAATGAATGTATTTACACATAGATGGAGATTATTTTGTGGAATATTTTGTGGTCATCTACCTTTCTGTGTGAGTCAAAAGCCATAGGCATTAGAGTTTCTATAAGAGCCTACTGGTTTCTCCTATTATTCTAAACATTATTCATAAACAGCGCTAACTTGTTGAATTGCAGTTCACTACTAAGAAATGCAACCCAGAGGCTCCCAGGGGCATGTGTATCTTTGAAAGCACGAAGTTCTTTGGTATGTCTTTGGTGAGCAGGTGTCTTATGTGCGCTTTGGAATGCACGCAAGCCTTCCCGAGAGCAACCGTGACCACAGCACTGTTATTCCCTGTTAATAGGAGGTTCCAAGCCACTTGAGACAATAGCAGCCTTTCCATTTCTACACAGAAAACCAGGTCCGCGCACTAATTGAACATTTGTCATCAAAATAGTCTTATTTTGAAACTTTAAAGTGCCTCTGTGCCCGGGGATTCACTGTCTGGAAAAATGCATTTTAAACATCCTGAGTACAGGCAATCGAATTTCCATCCTACCCCAAACAGACAAGGTGGCTCCACTGAGTCTCTGATGGACCCCCACTTACCTCTAGGTCTACCTGGGAAGCTCTTTTTAACTTCAGTTAAAAGTGCATAGCTGTGTTTGATGTTAGAATTTGCTCCAGAATGTTGTTCATACTTCTTTCTGGTGGGCCTAGTACTGCTTCAAAAGCAACTTCTACTTAAGAATCTGCTTTAAGTGTGTCATCGGGCACTGAGAAACGTGATTTGTTTCTCTTTTTTTCTCTCAGGAAGCTGACAGCTGGGAAATTATAGAAGGGCTGAAAATAGGCCAAACCAATGTCCAGAAACCAGACAAACATGAGGGCTTTATGCTGAAGAAAAGAAAATGGCCTTTAAAAGGCTGGCACAAGGTAACATTTTTATCATATTCAGGTTCAGATTGTCTTCATAAATAAAGAAGATCTTATTTGCTATCATGAGGTGGGAAACTAAGAATATGACTCTATGCGTAAAACTAGCTTTTTTTTCATTTTTTTTTGAGACAGAGTCTTGCTCTGTTACCCAGGCTGGAGTGCAGTGGCATGATCTCAGCTTACCGCAGCTTCTGCCTCGCAGGTTCAAGCGATTCTTCCACCTCATCCTCCTGAGTAGCTGGGACTACAGGTGCACGCCACCATGCCTGGCTAATTTTTTTATTTTTAGTAGAGACAAGGTTTTAGCCTATTGGCCAGGCTGGTCTTGAACTCCTGGCCCCAAGTGATCCGCCCACCTCAGCCTCCCAAAGTCCTGGGTTTACAGGTGTGAGCCACCACACCCAGCCGTAAAACTAACTTTTAAGGCCTTATTTTAACCACATGGATTGTAGTCTATTATACTTAACAGAGACAGAGATCTGTAATATACATATGGAGGGAAAAAAAATGTGATATTTAAAATCCAGTTTGTATATATTGTTGTCTGATTTACTTTTTTCACTTAGTATAGATAAGTTCTCATTAAATACTCTTTGAAATATGAGGTATTTTAAATGCATGCATGTATCACTTTGGATGGATCTATATTATATATCCCACTGCTATCGAACTAATTCCCTCTTGCTGGATATGTAAGATATGCCTCATTTTTTACTATTGTGATGTGATGAATATCCTTACACATGAACTTCTATTTAGTTCTTTGGGATAAATTCCTAGAATTATTGTTACCAGTACAAACTACAGCTGGAAAATCACTGATCCCAGAAGTTTGTTTACTGCTCTTTAAAGTCTACAGTTTATTCCTCTCCTTCCTCGCAATATCCTTACCCTATATCTAGTTTTAATGATGGAGAAAATATTTTTTACTGCATTTTACCATTACCCAAGTAGCAAGGATTCTGTCATACTAAGGAGGAGAAAGTTGCCGGACATTTTCAGTTTAAACTCTTTTTTTTCTTTTTTTGAGACAGAGTCTCACTCTGTCGCCCAGGCTGGAGTGCAGTGGTGAAATCACACCTCGTTGCAACCTCCACCTCTTGGGTTCAAGTGATTCTTCTGCCTCAGCCTCCCTCCCGAGTAGCTGGGACTACAGGCGCACGCGACCATGCTTGGCTAATTTTTTTTTTCCTTTGGTATTTTTAGTAGAGGTGGGATTTCACCATATTGACCAGGCTGGTCTCAGACTCCTGACCTCATGATCTGCCCAACTCGGCCTCCCAAGGTGCTGGGATTACAGGCGTAAGCCACCGTGCCAGTTTAAACTCTTTAGTGGGCCACCCAGTATCCTCTTTGAAATCAGTGGAAGAGTAAATCTATATACTTGGCACATCTGCACGTGGATTTCATCTCAGGGCAGATACATTTATTGGCCCAAATGGCCAGTGGTGGCTGCCCATTGGCTCAATGCAGGGAGGTTGTGTATGTTAACTTCCTTGAGGAAACATTTTATGTGTTTTAAGGGAAAGACTTAAAAATGAACACACGGGAAATGTTGCCCCGGTCCCCTGTCTGTGAAAGTCCCTTCTTCCTTGTCAGAAACTATCTTTCCTGAACCCATAGTATTATCATAGTGCCAAGGACTTGCCCTCGCTGTTGTTCTTCCTGAGATTTTCGCCAACTGGCCATCCTCCTTCCTAAGATCACCGTTGCCTTTCATTCTGACCTTACCTCTTTGTGTTTCCCCAAATTGATGGCCTTGCTAATTTCTTTCCTTATGATATGCTATAAGTGATCTCTGCTGAAATTCTTTGATAGACAGACATGGAAACACAGGAAAAAGCGGTCAAAGAAACAAATTTTGTATGAATTGCTAACTTTAATTTAGCACTTTCAGTCCATGATTCAGCAAAACTGGCTGTGGTTTGGCAGCAACTTTCTAGACCATGCCTTTAAACATTTTGCTACATAAATAACAGAGGGCCTGCTTTGCACTGTTGTCTTTTCTCCTGATCTCTGCAACCACCATGTGTTTATTCAGATGTCAGCCCATTTGATTGACCAAGTTAAGGGCAACTGATTTTAATCAAGTGTTTTTCAACTGTAGAGACTCTTTTTTCCAGTGCTGACTTGTTGTCCTGCAGAACCTGAAACAAAGGGGTTTCAGTGGCCTTCTGTGAGTCCTATGCAGAACTCATAGGGGTGCTCTGTGCAGAACTCATAGAAGGCCCCTGTACTCACAGAAGCAGATCCCGGGTCCTGACTACCTGCCATCTCAGCAGCTAAGAGGTCCCAAATCACATAAAAACTTTCCAGCAGAGTAATTTTCCAGGAACAGAAAGATTCCTTGCATCTGTAGAACTAGAGGGCACAGGACCCATTCTTTGACCGGGCCCTGGGAACTGTTTGTTCTCTTGTGAATTACCCATGGAAGAAAAATCAACAGCTGAGAGTTCCTGAGTGTTTGTAGAGCAAAAATGGGCAAATCCATTCAGACTGGACTAGGATTATCTTGGAGGAGAGAAAAATTGCCAAAAACCTCTCTCTTTTTTTACCCTTAATGTAGTTCAGAAATAATTTTCAGCCTCTTTGATTAATGGTAGAATGCAAACATTTGCTAAGTAGAGATGCAAGCATATTGCTAAGCCCACTTAAATTTTCCAGATAATTCATTATTCATAGATTCAGTCCATTGGCTTCTGTAATGGACATGAACATTTTCAGGAATTATCTGTGGTATACAGGGAAAATTCAGGAGTGTGTTCCCAGTGAAAAATTCCCTGTAGACATGTACAGAGCTCCTTATATAGTCACTGTGATCATTTCTCACTTTGAAAAACATCCCAATGTGGTTCATTCAGAGGATTGTAGCTTCAGGTCCTCAGATTCCTTCTCTGTTAAGAAAAATCATGGTGAAAAGACTCCATCCCCATTGGATTATGTATAAAAGAATCTTGATGGTTAACAGTATGGAACTAGAGCTCTTATCTCCTTGCCATTTAATGTGACTGACTGTGGCCAAATGCACTGAATCCAGATACATTAAAATGATCAAGCATATTGATTAATAAATGCCAAGCAACATTAGACCCACATTTGTGAATGTTTTATATAATTCAAAATACAGACAGTAACTGGGGGTGTTTGGTTCTTGCAGCGTTTTTTTGTCCTGGATAATGGAATGTTAAAGTATTCAAAGGCACCACTCGATGTAAGTAGCACACAGGACATGTTTCAAAGATTGATTCTGAATTCTGCTTGAAGTGAGTAAACACTGTAATTGTACAAGCCTTGTGCCATAGTTACCAGCTTTGTGCATGTCTGGGCCTGTAAGATTTCACAAGCTCCCAAACCTCCATGTTCTAAAGTGTTTCAACCTAGTGCATGAAGATTTAACTATTTTGATGTGTGTTATTAAAAACAGAAGCTTAAACCTTAAAAGTGACACATGAGTAAAATCACCTTCTGTCACTTGGAGAGAAAACCCAAATGGGCTTTTTTCCTGCATCTCCCAATAAACTCTGCTTTATGTGTGCTGCTTTGTTCTTGTCAATGTCCTTTTAAAAACTATCTTACAAATCTTATTTCTAGGTCATATGTCTTTTTATCTTGGAGATCCCAATTCACAAAAATTATTCCAAATTGTTTTTATTTAGTATACAAAGGAGTAGTTTGCATGTAACACTGGAAAATTCCTTCCTTCATCATTGTGGTGTGGGGAAGTAACAGAAGTCTCAGGTTTCAGTTTTGTCCCCATCTCTGCCATTGAATCAGCCATGTCCTTGATCAGAGGAGCAGCCAGAAGGAAGAGCCGGCTGCTCCCTGCTTTCTGGTCCCAGCTGCCCCGTTCTGCCTCAGCAGCTGTCTGCCAGCTGATTACTCAGGGATGTTCTGTGTTATAGGTCAAAGATTGACTGCAGTTATTTTAGGACCATTAAAGATGGGAGAATATAAGCTGTGCAATCTAGAATTATGAAGAATTAGCATTACATTCTATGCCAAGACAGGAATAAGATGAATAGTCTTATTTATAAAAATTGGTGTGAAGTCACTTCAACATCAACTATCCTAGAACCTAATCCATAGAACCTTAACTATTTTGTTTGTTAAGGAGTTATATGTAGTATTCCACTTCCCATAGATAAGTTAAAGATTACCTTGAGTTCACTTAAATCCAGTATAGAAATATCAAATCATATATCCTTTCAGCCTATTTACTAGTCTTTTGATTTCAGATTCAAAAAGGAAAGGTCCACGGGAGCATAGATGTCGGACTGTCAGTCATGTCAATTAAAAAGAAAGCTCGAAGAATAGACCTTGACACAGAAGAGCACATCTATCATTTGAAGGTGAAATCACTTTTCAACAGTTTCTCTGCCATTATCAGGGGAAACCATTTGCCTACACCAGTGGTAGACAGGAGAGTGATTTTACAATTACTTTCTCCACTTGTTCATTGTCTTAGGTGAAATCTCAAGACTGGTTTGATGCATGGGTATCCAAACTGCGACATCATCGGTTGTATCGTCAGAATGAAATTGTGAGATCACCAAGAGATGCTAGTTTTCACATATTTCCTTCAACTTCCACAGCTGAATCCTCACCAGCTGCTAATGTTTCTGTAGTAGATGGAAAGGTATGATTTTGTTCTATAAAAACCAGCCTGAAAATTGCTTAGAAAATTATGCAAATTTTGGCCAGGTACGGTGGCTTATGCCTGTAATCCCAGCACTTTGGGAGGCCAAGGCGGGCGGATCACCTGATGGCCAGGAGTTCGAGACCAGCCTGGGCAACATGGTGAGAACCCCATCTCTACTAAAAACACAAAAATTAGTCAGATGTGATGGTGCACACCTGTAATCCCAACTACTCAGTAGGCTGAGGCACGAAAATTGCTTGAACCTGGGAGGCGGAGGTTGCAGTGAGCCATAATTGTGCCACTAGTGAACAGCCTGGGCAATACAGCAAGACTGCATCTCAAAAAAAAATAATAATAAAATAAAAAAATTATGCAAATGCGTAACTGAGTCTCATTTGGGAAAACCAGAAAGAGGAGGTCTGCTTTGTAAACTAACACTCAGAAGACAGCAGTGACATTTGGCATGAAAGTTAATTGCAAGTATAAATTAGGCCAAAATGTGGATCACCAAGAGAATTAGCAGTTATTTTTCCATTTTATGAATGGACTACCTTCTAACTTTATGTGGCTTTGTAGGAATACTAGGAAGTAAGTTAACATTTATTTAATCAACATTCAGAAATCAGATGTCTTCCCGAATGGTAATAAGAAGACCTCAAAATCTTGAAAATGAAACTTGCTTTTGTGTCTTGACCTATAATACATACATGAGAAGCTATGAAATTTCCCCATGAAGTAATTGCATGTGAGCTCAAAAATGTGACAGTAGTATAAGTAGTAGCCTACTTAAGTGATCAGGCACTGTGTTAAGCTTTTGGCACTCATTCCTCTCTAATCTTTCAAATAACCAAAGTTCAGAGACAGGAAAAAATTTGTCCAGAAGTGACATAGCCATTAAACAGCTGAGCCAGGATCCAAGTCCACGTCTGTTTCCAAAATCAGTGCCCTTTCTATTTTTACCAGGTGCCAGACTAAGGGAGACTGACCTTGTTCTCTGGGCTGAAATAAGAGTTCACTTCTGTGTTGATGAAAAGCAAGAGATGTTGTTTGTTAAAAAAAAATCAAGGTTAAGTCAACAGACATGAAAACAGCTGTTCCTGCCTTTGATTCAATGATTAAGTTTCCTGAAACCTAGCGCCACTGCACTGCGCAGGGGTGCACCAGCTTTACACTTGGCACTTGAAATTGAGGGCAGAGAGGGTGAGGAAGCTGGTTGCCACAGTACGTTGTGTTCAAGAACGTTCCAGTGAAGATTCTGCTTTTCTTTATTTGCTTACACAGGAATGTATGTCATACATAGGTCCAAGTTTCCTTTGCAAACCACTGGAAAACCTCATAGAGTAACTGCAATACTAACCAAATCAGATTAAATGAAACATTACTATATTCAGTTTTTGTTATTTTAATGGCAATTTTCATTAGATCCTATTAACTATGTTAAAATTATCTCAAACCTTACATTATTTATTTTTTTGTGTGTTTTATTTGTATTTATTTATTTGAGACAAAGTCTCACTCTGTCACCCAGGCTGGAGTGCAGTGGTGTGCTTTGGCTCACTGCAGCCTCCTCAACCTCCTCCTCCTGAGTTCAATCGATTAACCTGCCTCAGCCTTCTGAGTAAGCTGGGATTACAGGCACCTACCACCACACCCAGCTCATTTTTAGTAGAGACAGGATTTCGCCATGTTGGCCATGCTGGTCTCAAACTCCTGACCTCAAGTGATCTGCCCACCTCGGCCTCCCAAAGTGCTGGGATTAGAGGCCAGATTACACACCTGGCCTTCAACCTCACATTATTCCATTCTGGTTGCAGCCTTGCCAAGGACTGTTTAATTATCTTTTTTCTAGGAATAGGGTATTGGATTAACCCTAATACCAACCAGTTCTGAAATAAGAAAGGGAGCGAACCATCTGGTCAGCGCATCAGGAAGGTTGGGAACTTACAGATGCCCAAGATAGTGCCGAGTTTCTCTGGCCTCCTGTGTTCTCACCAGAGAACTAAATCCTAGATTTAGTCCACGTTAAATGAGAATTGTATTCCAAATAGATCTTTAAAAAATACAAATTTTTTATTCTTTAGTTCATCCAGCTTCTGCCTACATCATTGGCACAGAGTATTGATGAAAGTATATTATTTTTATCTCCTATGTATTAAATTTATTAAAATATTTATTAAATTTATTGATGAAAATATGTTATTTTCATCCCTTATTTATTAAATAACTTGGGTAATATCTGAGAATGGAAGACTAAAATCAAATCCTCTCCACTATTTGCCTTGAAATAAGAAACTTCTTCAGCTCTGGTTTTCAAAACAGATCTGTTACTCTGGTTAATGACATACCTCTAAGATCTACTCAGTGAAAGATTTCCATTACATTTATCAAAATGCAATAAAGAGTAAAAAGAGCTTTTTATCACTTTGCCTGCCTTCTACATATCAAATTATGAGCCTCCTGAATGTTAATTGGTTTGTGGCCCTCTGTGGGGAATAAATAAGCCTGGGTTTGCTAAGAATGTGCGTCATTCACTTTGTAATGATTTAGAAGAGACACAATTCAGTTGTAGTTGAATATTAAAGTCAACTATAAAGTTTTAAAATTATTTCAGTTTTTTAAGAAATGTTTCTTCTTTTTTCATTGTTTCCTGCAGTCACCTTAGTATCTCTATACTTAATACAGTTTTCACTTATTTCACATACAATCTTCTTAATGAAAAGTCTATAGATAATAACTTCAATGGAAAGCTCTGGATAATAACTTGCCAAGACTGTCTTTTTATAAATAATTTTCAATATGAATTCAAGGCATTGCAAGGTTGCTTACTGGTGGATAATGTATTTAGGAATCACATGTGGTTGAGGAGACCCTGAGTGGTCATAAGGGTGCAGAAACCTTTTGGAAAGGAAAGACTTAAATCATGAGTTGAGAGTACTGCCGTAAGGACACTGCACATACAACTTACTGAGTGATTAAAAATTACTGGGAATTTGAGTTGGCAGGTGCTTGTGACTATGAGATACAACACACTTAAATGTTGTCCTTCACTGAATGATGGAGATGGCAACTTAATGAGAGGTTGTTGTTTAGGAATGTCGCCCTCACTAAGTGCAAACCACATTAAGCCAAGAAGCTTCTTCCATGTTTTGACTGTGCATTTTCTTCCTTTCTTTGTTAATACGGCTTGAGGATACTTGTATTTTTTTAATCATTGAAAGGTACTGTTTCATAACCATACAATTCATCTTTGTTTGCCGTAGATGCAACCAAACAGCTTTCCATGGCAGTCCCCTTTACCATGCAGCAATAGCCTCCCTGCAACCTGCACGACTGGCCAGAGTAAAGTGGCAGCCTGGTTACAGGACTCGGAAGAGATGGACAGGTGTGCGGAAGGTTAGTTCTTTCCCTGTGTGGCCTGAGAGTAAGCCAAAACCAAACAAGAAACCAAACCTAAAGCGGTGAATTATGAGTGCTACATCTTTTATCCTGATTGCCTTGATCGCCTTGACCTTTCCTTGCTCTTACTTTTTCTCCTCCTTGTTCTTATCTTTATGCACCAGCTCCTTCTCTCTGCCGTGACTCCGGCTCCTTACCTGCCAGTTCTCCTGCACCCTCACAGCAGTTGAATCTGGTTCTTGCCTTTCCCCTGACTTCTACCCACTTCAGCCTTCTCTCCTTGTCTCTTCACCAGCTCCTTCTGGCTTCTTTAGCTCTGGAACCTGGGGCAGTCACACAGAAGAGCAACCCCTGAGGAGAGCCTATGCTGCCCACAGCCCAAGAATCACTGCTCTGTCTTCCTCACTAGGTCACTTCCACAGCTGCCTTCTCTGCTGCTCTGTCTTGTGCACAGAGCAGGTGTATGTTTCCCGACAACTCGGCAATAAATGGCAAAGTTGTGAAATGCTGCATCTTATATCCACAGTTACCTGTTAGTGTGCTCCGCTATGGATCAGTGATTCAATATTCTGAACCAATACCTGATTCCCTCACATTGCCATCTCTGAGCCTCTTCATCTCTTCTTACCTTTACCTCCCTCGTAATTAACCAGCGCACAATGGTTCAAACTTGATGTACAGACCATTTCCATTCTATGAGAGTTTTCATTTGACCTTCAAAACTGAGAAAAACAAGGGCAATGCAGAGAGTGTTTAATAAGTCTCAATTAGTTTATTTTTTTAGATGATCCTAAGATGATATTGGGCCTATTTTTTTTCAGATTATTTTTCCTTATAAAATTATAATAAAAGCAGATATTAGATCACTTTTTTGTGTTCTCACTTAAAAAAATTAAAATTTGGTAATCTATGTTAGTGCTCCAACCAAAAGAATTTTTTCTTATTCTACCAGCATGTGGACTCAAAGTATGCAGCATTTTTTGTCGTTTTTATCAGCTTTCTGAGATACCCACATCCCAGACTTTATGTGAAAGTATGATTTCCTCTCTTTCTTATTGTAAATAGTGGAAGTGACAAAGAATGATGTAGCATGGTCCATGTGAAGGCTGTAGCAGGGTGATGAGACACGCACAATAAGTATTCCTTAGAGACCATTTCTGGCTTTCATAGAACTTTCTCATCTACCATCTCAGTAAGCAGGTAGGAGAGCTAAATACTACTATCACCACTGACAGATAAGGAAACTACAACTGAAAAATCTAAATTGATGTCTCCTTACACTTAGTTTGAGTCCTTGGCCTTAAATTGAACTAGTCACAAACTTCTGTTTTCATTCTGTTAGAAAAAAGGTGGATATAATTTTGATGGTTTTCAGCCCCAATTCCAGATTTCTGTGCTTATATAGCACCATTTATATAGAATAATCACAATTATTAGAGAGTATGAATGTAATATTTGCTAGATAGAAAGCTCGAAATGAAAATTTTAGTAACTGACCACAAAAATAAGAAAAGTAACTCAATTTTTTTTTTTTTTTTTTTTTTGAGACGGAGTCTTGCTCTGTTGCACAGGCTGGAGTGCAATGGTGCTATCTTGGCTCACTGCAACCTCCGCCTCCCTGGTTCAAGAGATTCTTCTGCCTCAGCCTTCCAAGTAGCTGGGATTACAGGCACCCACCATCATGTCTGGCTAATTTTCGTGGAGACAGGGTTTCACCATGTTGGCCAGGCTGGTCTTGAACTCCTGACCTCAGGTTATCTGCCCGCCTCTGCCTCCCGAAGTGCTGGGATTACAGGCGTGAGCCACCGCACCCAGCCCAATATTCTTGACCGTGTTTAATTTCACATATTAAAGGTCAGGTTTTTTTTAAGAGTGATATTTTATTATATAGATTTTTGAATATTCTCTTGTTCTAAATGCACCAAAAAATGGAAGAAAAAAAAACAACTAAAAGTCATTTATTTATTCTAAATGTTAATTCAGGCAGAATGAGTTGATGTCCAGGTGATGATGATGTTCCTGGACCATCGAATGCACTTTGAAAATCTGATTTCGTTAATATAATGTCTCTAAGAAATTTTAAAGTCATTCATTTCAACATTGTTAGCGAGCTAAATTAAAGAAAATATGTTTAACTGAATCTGTATTCCATCCTAGTTTTCTGAACTTGATTTTTACGCTACCCAAATTCCAGGTAACCACCTTCTAAAGCATGTTAGAGGAGCAGGTAGACAAGCTCCTAACAATGAAACCACAGGACTGCTGAAGTTCACTTGAGTGTGCTGCCCATGTGGCAAAAGCTATCAGAGCAGAAAAGGGATCACATACAGTGTGACGGAGAGTTTCATGGTTTCTGCACTAATAGCTGTTAACTTACGAGAGTGAGCTTTGAAATATAATTAATGGTTTTTGGTTCTATACCAGCAAAGGGTGTTTTGTTCCCCCTGCCAGTGTCTTCATCATATAAACATGGATCTGCCTACTCATATTTGCCATAATTTGCATTGACCCTTTTTTTTAATCATCACCACTGCTCCCTAACCAATTTTAACATATTTTTATTTACGATTTCTTATTAGATCTCGCACATTGCCAGTCAAACCTTGTGGAACTTAGCAAACTCCTGCAAAATTTGGAAATACTTCAGAGAACTCAGTCAGCACCTAACTTTACTGACATGCAGGTAAACATATTCCTGCTGCTGGTAAAAGGACTTAGGATATTAATTTATAATCTTTATTGGGTTGTTCTATGAATATATAAGGTAATATTTAAAGATAGGTAACTACAATACAGACATTTGTTTATATTCTGGAGTTATTTTTAATATTTTTTGAATCTCGGTGTCAGTGTGTTAATTAAGATGATTATTTTAAAGTGTTTTACATTTAAATATACACTAGCCAGAATAAATACATTCAGTATCTGAATTATTCTTCCGTGTTTGTGTTCTATTGGAAATGGTAGCTTTGAAGATATGCTTTAGATACTCTCAGAATTATTACTATCTTTTCATATAGAAAACAAAGCTAGAGATTTCTAATCCTGTATTTATTTTGTTTATCAGAAAAATATATTTTATAATTTAGTTCTTATCTCTGCTTTTAATGCCCACTATGCATCTGATACGCCTTTCTCTCCTGGCTGGTTTGCTTATAGGCTCTAACAATGATCCTTTACTAACTTGCTGTGTTCTTGTCTATACCTGTATCATCTGTGTGAACTTAATAATACTTTGTTGCTTTTAACTATTTGTGTAATGTAGGCTAACTGTGTAGATATTTCAAAGAAAGACAAGCGGGTCACAAGACGATGGAGAACAAAAAGTGTCAGCAAAGATACAAAAATACAACTGCAGGTACAGATTTTACTTTTCCTTCATTCATGTTTCTACATAATTTTAAAGTACTAGTCTTTATACATCAGTTAATGCGCGTTAGATTGAAAGGGTAACTTAACTGCTTTAAAGCTGGCGCTTTTCAAACTCTCACATTGTCTAAAACAGTGGGAAATCTCTGTATTTTTCTCACTCTGGCATAAGTGGGAAGGATTTAAAAGAAAGGTTGAAATTATACAATATGTGTTCAAAATGGCATTTTATTCTCAATTATAGCCTTTGAACCACTAAAATATATTTTAACAAAAAGTTATCTTAAAAATCTAGATTGAAAATCTAGTGGGTTATAATGAACACTCATTTAAAAATACTAGATATTAAAAGAGGCATTTATGTGTCAGCCTTGTCCAAATTTTTTCTATCAAGAAAAAGGGTAGGAGGTTCAATACATTAGAAATCAACAAACCCAGATTCTAGTCTAATCACTGTGATTTTCTGGCAGTATAATTTTGTAAATTTCTGTTAAATTTCCTGAGCTTCCGTTTGCTCCTAAGTGATAGAGTTTATTTAATAAGCTCTGAATTCTCTTTCAACTCTAAAATTCTATGATCCTTCAAAAATAGATATTATTTGGCTTTCAACAATCACCTTAAAATCTGAACTAAATTCTTAAGAGCTTGTAATAAATGTACTTGAAATTTATTTGAAATAAATTACATATTTGAAATGAGTGACATTTTTAAAGTAAGATCCTTTTATATTGTTGTGTTTCAGTGATTCAAAATATGGTAGATTATGTCATAAACCATATTACTTTCAGATTTTTAAACTAGAATTTCCATTATTCTCATCCTGAATGCATATTATAAATGGCCCTTGTCCTGCACAGTCAAGATTAGACTTTATGATTTGGCTCTTTAAAATTATTATACAAATAAATTTATATTCTAATGCAAAGGTAGAAAGAAGTACTTTTCAGAATTCTTCAGTCCCTTCTGAATAATTAACAAAATAATTCTTCTCTAATTTTGACTTCATTAATAACATTCTTTGTATTACAATTCTGACTGTGTAAATAACAAACTGTTGCTTTGCTTGCTAATCTGATATATTTGAAAATAAATTTTCATAAGCACTAATACCTATGTTTTTTTTATTTAGAATGTCTACATTCAATGAACACACCTTTTGTGTTCATTTGCTCAGTACGTTTCCGTGTGTTTTCCCCTCTGTTTATAAAATTAATACTGTAGGGAGAGATGTGCCAAGTGATTTCACAAGAAAATTACTTAAAATTGCTTTTGGCAGTTTTATTGGTTTTGAACTTGTGAGTGTCTAGTTTTGTTTGTTTGTTTGTTTTAAGCGTGGTGTCTGAGTCAAAGCCAAGAACAAGACTCATTTTTATAAGTAAAAGAATCATTCCCCTAAATAAAATAATTGAAGAAGGCCTGCATCACAAGAAAGAACACATACATTTGTTAATAGATATTGTTTTAATCTTGTGTCTATAGTGTATGCTATTGACCACATTCTTGTTCAGAGCTGTTGTCTTGGACAGGTTGGTTCCCAGTGAGTTGTAGTGCAATGTCCCAGCTACCTTGCTGCATCTAGGAGCTGCACCGGAGACCCCAAATCACTATTTTTTTTTTTTTTTCTGAAGGACACAGAATGCAACTGGAACTATACCACCTAGCCTCTCAGCCTGTGGTTTTACATAGACAGAAAAGTTATGAAGATTTTTTTGAGTCATCAGGAGAAAATGTCCAAAAAGCTAGAAAATACTCATTCATACTCCTGCCACATCTTTGGGTGGTTCATTTGTTTTTAAATTTTTATTTATGACTTGTGACTTTGCTAAGGATAATAAAATGGCCTTTGTAATTCTAGTTGAGTTATTTTTGAGGGAAATTGAAATCATCTAATCCCTCAAAGACACTCAAAGACAACTGCCTTTTTGAAGTGGGAGATTTAGTTCCAATTCCAAGAAGAAACAAATAAACTTAGGAATGGCAGTAAGCTGTTAATCATTCCCAGAGAAACTCCACTTCCACCTGGACTAAAACAAAAGGTATTTTAAGGGGAACACAGCAGAACTGGGTCCTATCCGTGGACCTTTTCTGCTTGCCCAAACCAACAGGTCTTGCAGGAGCCTCAGGATACTCGTTCTCTACTACTGGGAAGTTCCTCCAAGATCCTTCAAAATTCACACTTGGCTAGGGAATCATAAGTTCATCTAGGATGAGTATGCCAACATGAAAATCTTTACTACTCACTATTTTGCCTAGAGAGAGGCATAGCATCTAATGTTACTCTAGTGGATTAAAGATACCCACCACTTTCTCCTTCCTTATACCCAGCTTTTTCCCCTCCTGTTTTAAATGTTTTGATAATGGGAATTCTATCTAATGAATCCAAGCATTTGTTTTGAGTCAATGATCATCTCACCACTCGAACCACTTTCGCTGATGTTTCAGCCAATATGAGAGGCTCTCAAGTGGTGAGAGTTCATTTTCCGTCCCCGTCTTCTTCGTAACTAAGTACAACAGCCATTGGGAGGGTGCCCAGACCGTCCAGTGGTGGTGGTTGTGGTATTGTTGCTGCTGTTGTTGTTATCGATGTTGTGTTACTGAACTTTGTACTCAGTATTCCATAGTAGTTGTCATTTTGAAAAAAATTATAAAATAGGTCATTAAAAAAATTGACCACAAGAAAGTTAAAATGAAAAACATGTTATACTGGATGTTTGATTGCTTATTCTTGTGTAGGTTAGATTGTGCTATTGATTTAAATGAGAAGGTTAAATTCTAGACCAGTATGGCCTTGTTTCTACTGGAAACTATTGGGTAGTTGGCCTCAGGAATTCCTATTATGTAACTCATGAAGTCAGCATTTGTCCTAGAAGGTTCTGTGGAGACTACCTTTTAGAAAAAGGATTTCTTCTTGCCTCCTTAACTTCGAACTTTCTGGTTCGAATAAAAATCTCAATACCATTTTGCAGTAACAATTCAGCTGTGTTTTAAATGAAGTAAGAGGAAGGCAAGAAGGAAATATTTTGAAAGAAAGAGCTGTTAGATCTCCTGTGTTGCTGATAATATGAATTAAATACTAGATCCCTGGACGTTGAAGGGAATGGGGAATAGTAGAAAGTACATAGTAGCAGACAGATGATCTTATGTTGCTCCTGTGTAGCTGTCCTGCATCTCATAGATGCTCAAATTACACTGAAGGCTGAAAATAAGTTCTTCCTCCTTTTACTACATTAAGGAAAAAGGATTTTGTCTAGAAAATATTTTTGTGGAAAACAGATTATGTGTGTGTGTGTGTGTGTGTGTGTATGACAAACATATACGTATATGTATGCAGAAGACTTATGAAGATGGAAAATAAATAAGATTGTAATTTTGGAACTTTTTTGAAGATTTAAAGATAGAAAAATTTAAAATATTTTTCTGACATCCCAAAAAGACTAAAGCAGTCCTACTGTTTCTTCAATCTGGGCTGTTAGGAGATTCTAAGAAAGTATATCTTAATTATTTGGAAATGAAATTATTGCTGATGGCTGGGCAAGGTGGCTCATGCCTGTAATCCCAGCATTTTGGGAAGCCAAGGTGGGAGGGTCACTTGAGGCCAGGAGTTCAAGGCTGTGGTGAGCCATGATCATGCCACAGCACTCCAGCCTGGGCAACAGAGTGAGACCCTATCTCAAAAAAGAAAAAAAAAAATATTGCTCACAACCTTGAGGAGTCAGGGTCTGTCAGATGGAGGCAAAGTTGAATGATTAGAAGGAAATGTCATCATCCCTTAATCCCATCCACCAAGAGGAAAAAAACAAAATGAAAGAAAGCTGTAGGATTCTTCTACTGGTTTGTACATAGATGCGCATTACTAAATGAAAACTATGCTTTCAGGTTTTCGTAGTTGATTTTTATAGGCATTGTCCTCACTCACTGAGGAACTTAAGTTTTATTTTCTGATCTTATGGGGTCCGGCATCTTCCTTGGAAAATTCTTAGACTTGAAAATCCCAGCACTGTTACTGATGTGGAGTCCCAGATAGTGAGCTGTATAATAGGAGATTAAGTAGGAAGTTGAAGAACCCTCATACCCTTCCCTTACTTTTTTTCTTCCAGTAAGAAATTAAAAAAAAAAAAAAATTCTGTCTGGCCATTAGGAGGCTCTCATTACAACCTGTTCATTTTAGCCTTCCTACATTATTTAATCAGTTTTTCCTGAACTTAGTTTTCCTTGCTATCATTTATTGAATACCTTTTGACTTCATATAACATGATATCATATGAATAAAACAGTATGCATATTTATTTTACCTTAAAATTGCAGGCTGTCCATCAGTTTATAACTCCGTCTCCTTTTGGGGTGTGAGTTATAGTCAGCAAATAGAATTCAGGTGTTTGAGTAATCTGCAATGACAGCAATGAACATTTCTCATAGCATGAATGCCCCTGTGAGCTCTTTTTGATGCTGATTTAAGAAAAGTCGACTTCAGTTAAAAACTGTCCCTCTCCTTGTCTGATTATCTTTCATCCTCCCATCTTCCATCCTTTCCTCCCCCGTCCTGTGTTTCCTCCCCCCTTCTCTTCTCCCATTCACTGTCAGGAAGGGCCACCTGTGAAGGGCCAGTTCAGCACAACTCGGCGCCGGCAGAGGCTAGCGGCAGCAGTGGCTACAACAGTGAGTGGATTTCAATCTCAAGTGGAAGTTTAATAAGAATGAAAACCTGTGTACAAGGGTGACCTCCTTGTCCTGATGGTGCCACTGGTGTGTGATGGTGTCACCTGTAGCCCAATCATGGCAGCATAGCTTTCGCATGTTCTCTGGCTGTCTTTGCATGGCAGGAGTCAAACACGGGTATTCCTTTTTACAATGGAGAACTATTATATAATCCAGTTCTTTTGCTATACGTGAAGACATAATTTAAGTCAAATTTGCAAAATTGAGTGCAGTGCCCCATGATGTGAGCTTTCCTTAAGTTATATTGTTTTTTTTTTCTTTTTTACCATACTGATATTGGAACTTTTGCTAACTAATTTCTCTTTTCCTAAGAAAAGTCATGTTACTACAGACATAAATTGTGCTTTTTTTTGTAGCAGTGTGACTATTTGAAAAGGATGTGAGAATAAAGAAATGAGAGGGTAAGAAAAGGTGAATTTTGCTGTCATCTCTAAATGGCTACCCAAGTTACACTTAGCAAGGGAAAATTGTTTTCTGAAGAGAATATTGACATGAAAATTAGAAATTGCAGTGTGGAAATGACAAAAATAAAGACAGTTTTATGGTATTTAATCCATATCTAGAGGCTTTTTTTTTTTTTCTGAGAGAAAATAGAATGGATATAAGGAGAGTAGAGAACATACTGAGGTAGATAAGGCAAATGGATAGTGAATGACTTGTCTACAGAATATAAAATAGAGTATCAAAACACAAGAACTCCTTGCTGGATAAAAGTCAATTAAAAACTTTGTTTAGTCATGAGAGCCTATGAACTTCGTAAAATATAGTTTACTGAGTTCATAGCAATCATAGATGTTAGTTTTTTGGCTATTAGATAATACTTCCTTAATTAACAACAGTCTTGCTGTCACTAAGGGTGGAATGTATTTGAAGACTAGAATTGCTGAAAAAAATATGAAAAAGTTTTGGCTGCATTACAGGAGAATGGATGCTGATGTGAGGATTGGTGGATTTCTACTTTATGATTAGTAATTGGCTCTTGCCTTATATCTGGGTGTTTAGCTAGACTGAGAAACAAATTTGCTTTTGATTATGAAATGAACCAGTGACTTGGAATTTATTAGGGAACTGACTCTTAAACTCACAGTTTTGTAAACATTCGAACAAACAAATTATTGAAATAGCTTTCATGGTCCATGTATATCTTATGCATGTATTCAAATGCAGATGAATAAATCCCATGACGCTGATGTGGTAACAGATTCTGACAATAGATGCACATATAATCAGTTCAATATTATTAAAGGTAATTTTCCATTTATAAAATTAATAAATACACATGGTTATTAGAGATAACAACTTAGAATGGAAAAGAACAGTCCATCATTTTATGAAAACACTGTTTTCTTAAGCAATATACATCTAAGATGCCATGCAGAGAAGTGATTCTGTCTCTTCTGTGTTAATTTTTTAAATTGCAGATACATACAGTGAATATAATAAAACTGAGATTAGTACGTATTTGAATAGAATGGGTTCATATTTTTAAAATTGGCAGTAGAAGAGAAAGAGCTTTTAAAAGAAGAAATCATTAATGCCCACCTCCCAGGTTAGCTGTGACTATAGAAGTTATGAGAAAAACTTAGTGGCATGTAGTAAGAAAAGCTACTGGCAACATTTAATAATGTATTCAGGAATAACTAGGGGGACTGGCTACTCCAGGATCTATAGCTTTGTCTCCATACCAAAATGCCGCAACATCTAGCAGATGTTTCAGAAATTTATTCTTGATGACTCTTAGCGCTAGCATTCAGGATAGCCAACTCACAACAGCAGCCAGACCCAACAGAACAGGAGACTGGAAAAAGAGAAATACTGGCTCTTCCCCATGGAAGAACACTGAGGATCCCAATGCAGTCAGTACCCTCAAAGAATCCCTGTACACATAGTGCAGAATAGCAACAGCAGGAGACTTTTCCCACTGGCTTGATGAGTCCTGTAAGCATAGTATCTATCTTAGACCTACTGTGTAGACTTTCATGTCTACATTGCTGAATTTCACTGTCAGCAACTCCATTGTCAACTCATTTCGCTTTTGACTTCTTCATGGACAGGTGTTAAGAGCATCTCCTAATGCTACCAGAATATTCTAGGATCAGGCTTCCCTCCTGTCATAGGACTTACAAGAAGGCCTTGAATTTCTTTCCTGCACAAGGTAGAAAGGCCCAAATTGAGTGTTGAGGGTTCTCAGATATAAACATGGAGAGCTGTAGGCAGCTTGCACTCCAGCCATCACTGACAGAGAAACCAGTTACCACTTAGATTTTTGAATCCCATAATACTCAAATTGATGAATAAAAAGCTGAGTAAATAAGTCCCCAGTCTGAACAGATATTCAATTAGGGTTAGATTAATACATCCCAATTTGTATTCTCAAAAGTCCTCAATTAAAATGACCCATTCTACATACCTCTTTTTAACAAAAAAAGGTATACCAATATATAAACATTTTCAGTCAAAAGTATATGAAGATTAGTTCTCAATTTCCCAGGGAACCATCTGATTGCAATTTGAATGGAACATTCAAATCTCTTTCCCTATGGGTAATATGCAAAACCACTTTTACTGTTTTAATAGCCAGTTTAAGTTTCCATTATGTTCAAAATATAAATTTGTAACTTATGTTTTTCTTCTCAGCATCTGACTCCAACATTTAATAGAGGAATAATAATTTATCTCAGGGACAAGTCTGGGTCCTTCCTGGACTCCCTGGGTTTTTACTGCATAATGGCCTCTATATAAGCTTCCCGCCAACTCTCATGACCCCACTCCTCACCCGCTCAAGGAAGAGACTCCTTTTCCAAGCCATGTGAGTCCTTGGAGTGTTGAAGGCACCTGAATGCAGATAAAAATCCTTTTCCATGATGCTCAACATATTACCAAAGACCCACATTTATTTTTCTTAATGCTGTTCTAGTTCCTTATATCAGAAAACTGTATCATTAATTCTGAAAACTCTCAGATCTACCTATTTTTTTCACTCAGAGTCTCTCCCCATGACATCCTAATCTCCAGCAACTTTTCCATGGATTCTGTGTCCCTCAAGGGGCTGACTGCTCTTTCTAGATTTAGCATCACCACAGTTAGGGTCAGAACTTCCTTTCTCTATCTTCTGACATTCTGCCACATAAATACCATTCCTTTGTACGTATCCTAAAAGGTCCTCAGTCCTTGTTATTATTAAGTTACCTGGACAGGATTCCAGCAGAGTATTGAACCCCAGCACTCCGTTTTCTTAAATGGCTTATTGGCCACTTCTGGGTCTCAAATCTAGAATAGACAGAACTTTTCAGCCTGATAATATTGATTAACAAGCTGTTTAACAATCATCTCCCAGCCCAGTGTAGCCAAGTTCTCCAAAGAAGATGAGGTAGGGTTCCTTTGATGACTCCAGATACCAAATGCTTCAAATAACATATATTAACATGCTTAGCTTAGCTGAATTTGGGGGGAAAGCTTCATGCTCACTTTCTTCCCCAGTAAGTCTTGGATATCTTTTAAGAGAAATAAATCCTTGCCAGGACAATGCTGCATCAGAAGGATGCTCTGTCTCAACTGCCCTCAACCTGCAGCTCAGGCCAGATATTTTGGTTCTTTCCATCTCTTTCATTTGTCCTCTAAATCCTTGGAGAAAACATGCCCTCTTCTCCTTCCCCCTTTCTCTCACCAAATATGTTAGGAATTTTAAAGCAAAAACCAAAAAATTAAAAAAGAAGAGGTCCTGACATACATATCCGTCAGAGGGTAATGGTTCCTTCCTCCCACAGCACATTCCCCGTTAGCTAGGGGGTGTGAATTATCCTATCAGTTACACAAAATTCCAACCTGTGGTGGAGTCTAAGAGTCTGGTTCTTGAAAATAATTGAATGCACATCTGTGCAATAAGAATTAAGGAGAAGTTGTTTGTGATCTGATTTGCAGGAAGAATTGGTATTTTCCTTTCCAGGAATGTTTGACTGACATTTGTAATGTTTGGGTAAAGCCTTCTTAAAGGGGAGGAAAAGGTGCTTTGCCTCCACCCATCAGGAGCCTAGTCCGTATCCAGCCTGGGCAAGGAAGTACCTCTAGCCATGTGGAAAATCTATAGTAATATGACTTTTTCTACTTACTGCTTCTCGGTATTGGCCAGTTCATGAACCATGTGCATATATGTAATAGAGTTGTGTGTAACATACAAAGGTAAACCACAGTGATTTATATAATATATATTTCATTTACTAATATAAAATTTAGTAAGTCAATTTCCAAAATAAGTGTGAGTCTCTTTAAGCCATTACTGTATTTACTATTAAGCCTGATTTGTTTTTTATTTAATGGCTACAGAGTAAGTGAATCTTCCAGTATATGCATCTCTTCAATTTTACAGGTTTAGTAAGATCCTGCTCCAGGCTCAGATAGTCCAGACTGTTAAGAGAAGGTCAGCTACATCACAGTTCAGACTGCTGTTTTTCTGCCAGTTATTTTTGAGGTGCAAGTATGAGTTCAGAGTTTAAGCTTGCCTGAGATTATGTCTTTTATTCCTGTCATTCTGTAGTCATTTCTCTCTGTAACTGAAAAATCGGTGAGTTTGTGGCAGTTCTAAATCAATAATGGGAAATGAGACTCCCTCTTCCCACCCCAACCGCCTGCAAAATAAATGAGTACTGAGTGTCTCCAAGTGTGTTATCAGAGAGGAATCTATTATTTTGAAGAATGGGAGAGGTCTTTTCTGTGTAGGAGAATGTGAAACAATGCACTGTTGCTCTTTAATAATTTGTGTCTTCCCCTTTCAGGTTCCTTTCAGTGCTACCATGTCACCAGTTCGCTTGCATTCCTCCAACCCCAACCTTTGTGCAGATATTGAATTTCAGACTCCCCCTAGCCACCTCACTGACCCTCTGGAAAGTTCAACAGATTATACAAAGCTGCAAGAAGAATTTTGTCTAATCGCACAGAAAGGTAATAACAAAAATAATGCGCCCTTTAAAGAAGCTCTCTTTGATGAAAGATTATCCTTTGTTCTTTTATCTTTGTCTTTGTGGTAATGATAGAAAGACTAAATGGTTTCATATAGTGGTTGAGGTTCTATATACAAAAATGCAACAGGACATGATGCTTGCCTGTTGGAAGATCACACATCACAGGTTTACAGTTTTGACTAAAGAAAGAAAGTGCCATGGGGGTGGGAGATAAATAAATTATACACAATCTGGCAAGATACTACTACTCAACGTTTTTTTCAATGTGTCTTAGTTATCATTTAATACGTATTTATTGGTTCTCTTTAGATTCTGTTTATTTCTTTTTTTATTAAATAATACTCATTTATTGGACTTTACAATTTGTGGGTCGGGAATTCAGGCAGGGCTCAGCTAAGCAGCGAAACCTCTGAGCCACATGTCTTCGACTAGCCCCAGTCACTAGGATTCGGCTGCAGGTTGAACTGGGCTGAAAGACCCAAGGTGGCTTCCCTCCTGTGCCTAGCATGTTAGCTGGACAGCTGGAAGGCTGCACACAACTATGCCCCCTTCCTCTCCATGGCAGTTTAGGGTTCCAAGAGCCTGGCAGTGGAAGCTGCTCGTCCTCTTCAAGGCCAGCTCTGGAACTGGTGTGGTATTCTACTTCTGTTGTATTCTATTGGTCAAAGCACTATAGGCCAGCTCAGATTTGAGGGGAAATTGATTCCACATTTGAGCCTCTTCTTTATGCTCTGTGGCTGATGATAACAATTTAATTTACACAACAAGCCTCATTGAAAATTTAACATAAAGAAGACGAGAGCAATATTAATTTGTTTGTGTAACAGCATTGATTTATAACCAGTAACTTCTACTTTGGGGAAGGAGGTGCAAAAGGTAGAGTGTGACCACAAATGCGGGAGTTGAATATATGAGTATGGCACAGCTGCTAAGGGAAGATGGTACTTTGGAAGGCAGGCCCAGGAAAACTTTGTGTATTTGGTTGCAATTCTGAAGCTTCTAGGAAATCCAAGTATCAATAGAGTTTTAAAGCTTCTGTTGAATGATACATCACATTAACCAACTGAAAGAAAAAAACCACATAATCATGTCATTTGCAGAAAAAGCATTTGTCAAAGTTCAATACCCTTTCTTGATTAAAAAGAACTCTTAATGGTTTAAGTATAGAAGGAAAGTTTCTCAACAGATTATAATAAAGGCTGTTTATGAAAAACACCCAGCTAACATCACTTAGTGGGGAGAAATGGAAAGCTTTTCCTCTTAAGATCTGGTACAAGGCAAGGTGGCCCACTCCTTCTGCTTCTATTCAACAGGGTACTGGAAGTACTATCAAGAGCAATTAGACAACAAAAAGAAATAAAAGGTATCCAAATCAGAAAGGAAAAAGTAAAATGATCTCTATTTGCAGATGACATGATCCTATGTTTAGAAAACCCCAAAGATGCCACCAAGAAACTGTTAGAGCTAATGAATGAATTCATTAAAGTTGCAGGATATACAATGAACATACAAAACCCTGTTATTCTATACACGAATAACAACATAGCTGAAAAAGAAATCAAGATCAATCCTATTTATGACAAAATAAAATACTTAGGAATAAATTTAACCAAGGAGTTGAAAAACCTGTACACTGAGAACTATAAAAAAAAATGATGAAAGAAATTAAAGAGGACACAAATAAACAAAAGATATTTCATGCTCATGGATCAAAAAGTTATGTTGTTAGAATGTTCATACTTGCAGCCATAAAAAAGAACAAGATCATGTGTTTTGCAGGAAAATGGATAGAGCTAGAGGTTATTATCCTCAGCAAACTAATGCAGGAATAGAAAACCAAATACCACGTGTTCTCACTACAAGTGGGGGCTAAATGACAACAACTTATGAACACAAAGAAGAAACACAAGCAAAAAACACTGGAGCCTATTTGAGGGTGGAGGGTGGGAGGAGGGAGAGGAACAGAGAAGATAACTATTGGGTACTGGGCTTAATACTTGAGTAGTGAAATAATCTGTACAATGAACCCGCATGACACATGTTTACCTATGTAACAAACCTTCACCTGTTACCCCTAAACCTAAAATAACAGCTAAAAAAAGTTCATACTACCTAAAGAAATATACAGATTCAATATAATTCCTATCAAAATGCTAATGACACTCTTCCAAGATATAGGAAAAACAATAATAAAATTCACATGGGCACTCCATTCCAAGATGGCAGAATAGGAACAACTCCAGTCTGCAGCTCCCAGCGTGATCAACACAGAAAATGGGTGATTTCTGCATTTCCAACTGAGGTATCTGGTTCATCTCACTGGGACTGGTTGGACAGTGGGTGCAGCCCACGAAGGGTGAGCCAAAGCAGGGCAGGGCATCACCTCTCCCAGGAAATGCAAGGGGTCAGGGGATTTCCCTTTCCTAGCCAAGGGAAGGCATGACAGACTACCTGGAAAAACGGGACACTCCCACCCAAATACTGCGCTTTTCCCAAGGTCTTGGCAACCGGCAGACAAGGAGATTCTCTCCCATGCCTGGCTTGGTGGGTCCCACACCCACGAAGCCTCGCTCACTGCTAGCACAGCAGTCTGAGATCGAACTGCGAAGCGGCAGCCTGGCTGGGAGAGGGGCGTCCACCATTGCTGAGGCTTGAGTGGGTAAACAAAGCAGCCAGGAAGCTCGAACTGGGCAGAGCCCACCGCAGCTCAGCAAGGCCTACTCCGTCTATAGACTCCACCTCTGTGGGCAGGACATAGCTAAGTAAAAGGCAGCAGACAACTTCTGGAGACTTAAACTTCCCTGTCTGACAGTTCTGAAGAGAGCAGTGGCTCTCCCAGCATGGCGTTTGAACTCTGAGAACAGACAGACTGCCTCCTGAAGTGGGTCCCTGACCCCCGTGTAGCCTAACTGGGAAACACCTCCCAGTAGGGGCCAACAGACACCTCATATAGGTGGGTGCCTCTCTGGGATGCAGCTTCCAGAGGAAGGATCAGGCAGCAATAATTGCTGTTCTGCAGCCTCCGCTGTTGATACCCAGTCAAATGGTCTGGAGTGCACCTCCAGCAAACTCCAACAGACCAGAAGCTGAGGAACCTGACTGTTAGAAGGAAAACTAACAAACAGAAAGGAATAGCATCAACATCAACAAAAGGGTCATCTACACCAAAACCCTGTTTGTAGGTCACCAACATCAAAGACCAAAGGTGGATAAAACCACAAAGATGGGGAGAAACCATAGCAGAAAAGCTGAAAATTCTAACAGCCAGAGCACCTCTTCTCCTCCAAAGGATCGCAACTCCTTGCCAGCAATGGAACAAAGCTAGACAGAGAATGACTTTTATGAGTTGGCATAAGTAGGCTTTAGAAGGTCAGTAATAACAAACTTCTCCAAGCTAAAGGAGCATGTTCTAACCCATCACAAGAAAGCTAAAAACCTTGAAAAAAGGATAGATGAATGCTTAACTAGAATAAATAGTGTAGAGAAGACCTTAAATGACCTGATGGAGCTGAAAACCATGGCACGAGAACTTCGTGACACATGCACAAGCTTCAATAGCCAATTCAATCAAGTGGAAGAAAGGGTATCAGTGATTGAAGATCAAATTAATGAAATAAAGCAAGAAGACAAGGTTAGAGAAAAAAGAGTGAAAAGAAACGAACAAAGTCTCCAAGAAATATGGGACTGTGTGAAAAGACCAAATCTACACTTGATAAGCATACCTGAAAGTGACGGAGTAATGGAACCAAGCTGGAAAACACTCTTCAGGATATTATCCAGGAGAACTTCCCCAACCTAGCAAGTCAGGCCAACATTCAAATTCAGGAAATACAGAGAACACCACAAAGATACTCCTCGAGAAGAGGAACCCCAAGACAAGTAATTGTCAGATTCACCAAGGTTAATATGAAGGAAAAAATGTTAAGCGCAGCCAGAGAGAAAGGTCCGGTTACCCACAAAGGGAATCCCATCAGGCTAACAGTGGATCTCTCAGCAGAAACCCTACAAACCAGAAGAGAGTAGGGGCCAATATTCAAGATTCTTAAAGAAAAGAATTTTCAACCCAGAATTTCATATCCAGCCAAACTAAGCTTCATAAGTGAAGGAGAAATAAAATCCCTTACAGACAAGCAAATGCTGAGAGATTTTGTCAACACCAGGCCTGCCTTGCAAGAGCTCTTGAAGGAAGCACTAAACATGGAAAGAAACAACCGGTACTGGCCACTGCAAAAACATGCCAAATTGTAAGCACTAAACGTGGAAAGAAACAACCAGTACTGGCCACTGCAAAAACATGCCAAATTGTAAAGACCATCATCGATGCTATGAAGAAACTGCATCAGTTAATGGGCAAAATAACGAGCAAACATCATAATGACAGGATTAAATTCACACATAACGATATTAACCTTAAATGTAAATGGACTAAATGCCCCAGTTAAAAGACATAGACTGGCAAATTGGATAAAGAGTCAAGACCCATCAGTATGTATTCAGGAGACCCATCTCACGTGCAGAGATACACATAGGCTCAAAGTAAAGGGATGGAGGAAGATCTACCAAGCAAATGGAAAGCAAAAAAAGCAGGGGTTGCAGTCCTAGTCTCTGATAAAACAGGCTTTAAACCAACAAAGATCAAAAGAGACAAAGAAGGCCACTAAATAATGGTAAAGGAATTAATTCAACAAGAAGAGCTAACTATCCTAAATATATATGTACCCAATACAGGAGCACCCAGGTTCACAAGGCAAGTCCTTAGAGACCTACAAGGAGACTTAGACTCCCACACAATAATAATGGGAGACTAAACACCCCACTGTCAATATTAGATCAATGAGACAGAAGGTTAACAAGGATATCCAGGACTTCAACTCAGCTCCGCACCAAGCAGACCTAATAGACATCTACAGAACTCTCCACCCCAAATTAACAGAATGTACATTCTTCTCAGCACCACATCACACTTATTCTAAAATTGAC